ATCGTGTGTGGAGATTGTACGGACCAACCACACACCAACGAACAAGAACAACGTAGGAACGTTGGCGACCAAAAAGGGGATTGCCGGAAATTCCGCCGGAAAATCAAAAGCTTTCTCTAAAAAAACAAGTATTTTTCCTTTTTTTTCTCTTCCTCACGCATGAAACACAAACCAAAAAATGGAGAGCCCCCTTGATTTGTTTTTATAACTAAGGAATTTAAAAAGTGTAACTCATACACAATTAATTCTTAGTATAAAACCATGGCATTTGTGGCACACTAATGACGTGTTAATGGTGATTAATTAGCCATTAACACGTCCGTTACACTACGCTTCGTTTAAAATTTGTCTCGAATAATTGGAGATTAATGACCAGTTAATTCCGTAAAAATGGACTAATTTTAAACAATACGTAAAATTAATAATAGAAGATTGGTTCAGTAAAATTACAAAAATTACAATCCTTACCATATTCTTCTATTAACGGGTTAACTCTGGGAATCAATTTCTCATTCACCCTCTACCATTTTTGGCGTATAAATTATCAAAACATTTATCTCATTTAAGAGAACACACGTCTATTAATGAACGGTTAAAACCGTTAGTGGACCTATTGACAAATATATCCAAGTTGGTCTATTTAATGCCTTATTAAAAATGCAAAAAATTCCAACAACACATGCGTTACAGTAACATATACAAGCTCTTTTTTCTTCCATATCCATTCCACAAACAAAATCATTTCTACTTTTCTTCTTTGTTGGAAATATTGGAGGGATAATAATGTTGCGAAGTAGCGTTAGAGATTTGGTATATGAAGAACGCGAAGAACGACTTCATAAACATAAGAAATTGCGTGTATACGTTTTCAGATTAAAGTTATTTTGGGATATATCAAAATACTTGAATCGGATAAGACGTAAATAATCTAGAACGAGTATGGAAATTCCAGTTGTCTCAAAACATACCCTGGAGCCATATTTATAGGCAAAGTTTCAACAGACGTGTTGGTTGATGAAACAACACAACTTTCGGGTAACATTAGAATGTTTGAGTGCAAACATTCGAATGTTTATGGGCGGATTATGGTGAACGGTTATTTTTGGAGTTACGTGTGAACCATTGCAACTTATATTGCTAGCCTTTCGAATGTATCGAGTCCGTTTACAAAAGGGGTTGTGGATAAACATTACATTCCAATATAATGTATTTCCTCCGTCCACGAGTATTTGTCTACTTTTTGTTTTTTCGGTCAAAATTGGTAAACTTTGATATTAAATTAAAGAGTAAATTCCATAAAAGGTCCCCAGTTATAGATCATTTTACATATTTAGTCCCTACATATCAAATATTACTAATTTAGTCCCCAATTATTATATCATTTTTCACGAATGGTCATTTGTTAACGTTTTTGTTAAGAACATAAATAAAATTGTATATTCATACTTTTCTCTCTCCTCAATTAAGCTTCCTCCCTCCTCTCTTACTCTTTCCCAAACTCGTCACTGAGTTTGAAACTCTAAATCCAAAACTGAAATGATCATTCCTTTCTCAATTATTAGTCTTCCTGGTGGAACCTAAAATCAAAATCAATAAGCTTTATGGATGAGTTTTATCAGTTGATCTCAAGAAATTGCAAAGAAAATATACATTAAAACTCATCCATGAAGGTTGTTTCGAATTTGGGTTCCACCAGTTACACAAACAATTAAGAGAAGAGTGATGATTTGGTTTCGGGTTCAAAGTTTCAAACTCAGCGACGAGTTTTGGAAAGGAGTGTGAGGGGAGAGAGGAAGCTTAATTGAGGAGAGAAAGGAGTGTGAATTTACAATTTTATCCACGTTATTAACGGAAATGTTAACAAAGGACCATTCGTGGAAATGAATATAATAATTGGGGACTAAATTAGTAATATTTGATATGTATGGACTAAATATGTAAAACGACCTATAACTGAGGACCTTTTATGGAATTTACTCTAAATTAAATAAAAATGATATTACATATTGATACCAAAATAGTTTTATGAGATTTAGTATATAAAATACTTTTAAAATATTATTTTATCTACTTAACATATACTTCCTTCGTCCCAAAAAGATGTTCACATTTTAACTTTTAGAAAATTTAAAGGAGAGATATATTGTGTAGATTATTAATAAAAAGATATGATGTGATAGGTAAATTTAGAATTACTAGGGGTAAAAATTATTTTTCAATAGAAATGATAAGAATTTTGTGGAACAAGAAAAAAACAAAAGAGAATGAGTTTTTTGGACGGAGGGAATAATATATATTTCATTTAATTATAGATCAAAGGTTAAAAACAATTGACTGAAAAAAATCAAATTGGAAAAATACCCTGAGACGGAGGTAGTATTGTTTTATACATTCGAATGTATATTATTTCAAACTCCACTTCGGCCAGGGGCTCTACCCCTTGACCCCACTACCGGTGGTCGTCGCCCCTAGACCCTGCTATAGAATTTGCAATATCGTTGAACAATCGTGCATTTCACACCTCCGAACTCGTTAAAAATATCTATTAAAATTCCTGCCCGTTCTAAGTAATTCTAATTATATAAATTAAATTTAATATTTGCTCTAAATAGCACTAAATCTTAAGTCATTTCCCTAAATAGGGATTAGATTGTTTTATTCCCTAAATAACACTTAATAATATCCAGAAGAAGAAATAATGACCAGTGATGACGAATATTTACTTGAATAATGACTAAAAATGCTACATTGGGGAAAACACATATGATGCTACTTAGAAAAAGTCATTATGCTTGAGTGCTATTTAGATAAATTTCCCAAATTTAAACTCTAAAATCACCCCGAACGAAAAAAAACAGCCAAATATCAATATTGAACGAATGGTTTCAGTTTCTTAACAGTTATAATACCATTGTGCAATCTATGAAATTGTTCAATTGTATTATAATTGCTGTTAAGAAACTGAAAACTCCCCTCAACAAATATTGGACCAGCAAGCTTCAGTTCCTAAGTTGACGAATGTCATCCCCAGATAGCCATTTAATAAGAAAAATTTTCGTTGACATAAATACGATGTGGGAGAGCTCGAATGGAGAAGCAATATACTAAAATATACAGTATAAGGTTTATATGTTCCCATACTAAAATCTACTCCATAATCTCCAATGGATGTGCTATTTTCATAAGCTAATAAGCTAAATTAACATTTTTTAAGGATCTTTTTATACATGTCCATTTTGTAAATGCTATAAATATGAATAAATAAAATATTATAAAAAAATGGTGACCACGTTAGAATAATACTATATTCTATTTGTTTTCATATTCTAAAATTATAAAATTAATAAAAAATATTTTATTATTTAAAAATAACGAAAGTATATAATATAATTTATATAAATGATATGATTGGAGTTGATATTAAAAAATTGATAGTTAAAACACTATTGGGAAGCAATTATAACATTTAGCTTCTGAAATGATGGCTTCTCTCTTGGAGATGCTCTAACAACTTATTCTCTATCTATCCCCCCTTCATATTGTCACTTTTCAAAGTCAAATCATTTTCTTCTTTCATTTTTCTCATTTCACTCTAATCATTCTTCTCCATATTTGTTATATGAGGGTCCCTTGAGATTTTACTTATCAAATCTATATTATTTAATTTCTTCCTAATTTATCTTGTCTATTTCTTTTTTTAACATTTTTTATTTCTAATCGCATTTTATTTTTTAAAATAGAAATATATACACATAAGATAATTTATTCTATATAATCTAATTTTTCTTAAAATTTATTGACAAATTCAAGAGTAGTGTTTCAATTATTTAAGTCTAAATCCAAAAAAAAAAAGTCAAAAATCATCTCAAAATGAAAAAGAAAAAAATGTCCATATTACCTCTTGAAAAAGGCAAATTCATCCTTATAGGAACAGATATTGATATGAACTCTGATGGATAATATAAATCACAAATTAAACCGCACTTAAATAGTGCGTGGGAGAGTTACACTTTGAATATAACTCTAGAAGATAACTAGTACGTGATAAAAGAGCTAAGCTGAGATATTATCTCCGCTAGTATACATCCAATCGGTTAGAGAGATACGTGGAGATAAGCTAGACTCTAACTAATAATATTAACTTGCATGAGACAATATTTGGACCGAAATACACATCATAGGCAGTAGTAGAGCTAGTGTCCACCACCGATGTGCAATTGCAATTAGCCTTCAAGATTTCTGTGATGGTATGGTGGAGATTAGCCTCCCAAGTGTTGCCAAACACCCAAAGAACAAAAAGAATTGGAAAACAATTGTGGAAAACAACTCATTTTCCGCTAGTCATTTTCTTCCTTTCCAAACAGACCCTAGATGAAAATGTGAAATCAATCATCAATACTTGCTTATTTTACTCCAAAGATGAAATCAATGGTTCACCATATGCAGCAGGCGTGCATATATAATGACTCCGTATACGTTTGTTTATTCAAAATGGAAACAAATCATGTGTAGAGAGCATCGGAAAAATACGATAAGTGTCACAAGGCATTTAATTTATACTCTGAGTAAAAATTAAAAACGAAAATAATCTTACAACAAAACCGATCATCATCATTATCATCATATTGTAAGCAGCTGGGTGTGTGGTGGAAATTTGGATTTGAGATTGCTGGCGCGCTCCTTTGCTTCATCCCTCGTAGTGGCCAACTTCATTTTCTTAAGATATCTCAATTCGTAGACATCCTCAAAATCTGTCCATTGTGTGTCGATGATCACCGTCTCAAGTGATGGAGCCATCTCCATCAATTTCAAAAGGAACTCGTCTTCGCTCGACGACCCACAATAAGATCCCATTCGAACCAACCTAAGATTCACATGATTGAATGTACCCACCTCTGCTTCACTCACTTCAGGATATGGTATCTCCTGAAGTGATATAACTCGTTAAACGGGTGGAGATGAATCAAGATTTGTAATAGAAAGATATGAGAATAGAATTGAATACCTCATAGTCATCCCATTCATAATTCATCTGTGACAACATTAGACAGTGAAGTTAAGCTCAACATTGAAGCGCTCTTTTTGTATCCAACAATGGTATGTTTCCCAGCAAACACATAAACACCATTATGGCGCTGCTTAATTTTAAATAAATACTACTAGTTGTAATCTTCTACTAGTGTAAGCAAATGACACCGTAGGTGCCGGGAATAAATTAGTGTAAGTAAATGACACAAGTAGCAATGGTGTCATTTTAGACTTGCTAATACTTTGTGTGTGTATATATGTTTGTGTGTGGGCGAGAAAGGGGGGGGGAGGCAAAGATCATTTACCGTGATTGTGAATTCGCGTAAGCGAGGAGAGGCCTTGATCAATAAAGTGAAGAAGAGAAGACTTCGCTCAGCTGGTGTAGTGCTTCTCACAGTCAGCTTCTCCAGTGAACATAACTGAGGCAAATCTTGGGGAATGGCTATTTGAAAGGGCAGTGTAATGGGCTGTAGAAAACATATTTGTTAAAAAGCAAGTTAAAAATCTGCCGTAGTAAGTTAATTGACTGAACCACACACACACAGACGCACAACATGCACACACACACACACACACACACATAGATATGTTTTCAATGCCAACCAACCGTGAGAAGAAGACCCAGGTTCAGCTCTGTCAACTGAACCGAATAACTTGAGTGTTTCTTAGCTTGATAAATAAAGGGGAACGAAGCTCCACCCCTCAGATGTAGCGCAGTGAGATTCGCAACTCTTTTCAACAAATAAGGCGTTTCTACATTATGTCCCGAATATGAAAATGATACAAGACTCGGTGCAGAGATCTCAACCCTTTGGATCTGCCCGCACCATAGTTTCAATTGTTTCAACTTTGGTGCAACAACTCGGAGATTCTTCGTACAATCTGAGTCCTTGATCCACAAGGTCTCAAGATCCGGACAAGATGCCAATAAATAATGAACCATGTCATCCTCAACATTTACATGCACCAACTTGAGGGATCTTAGGCTAACAAATGAACACTTGGGCTCCAATAATAACAGCTTCTCCATGCTAGGAAACTTGTATTTACAACTACGCCTCTGCCTTGCCAAACTCAATTCAAACACTTTTACTTGCTTTCGCAGGGCAAACCGTGTCCACCTATCGGCATCACCATCTTCAAACCCCCAATGCCCCCGAGTACACACGATAAAGCTATCTACTCTAGGAGCCTTGTGCAATTCCAACACACGATTGACCCAACCTCCCATTTCTTTCCTCTTATCCATCCCTCTGTAAGTGTCCCTATCCCAAGCATCAAATTTCAAACTCCCGGATACAAGTGTCCACAAATATCTCCATCTACGCGAGAGAGCACTAGTCCTACCAGCATCCTTGAGTTTTAGGCGGGATATTATATCAACAAGCAGCTCATCAGGCAAGTCATTAATCCTTGGTGTGCTCTTATTCTGGGTGTTAGTGACAACTTTCTGCATCATTGTACAGAACACGTAAATACAAAAATCTTAGAAAGGAAGGAGCAAAGAAATTTGATGCCTACTCCGTTATAAGGTATGGAATTTTTCCTTACATTGTCCTCTCGTTTTCGTTTTCTTCCGTTTTGAAAAACTGAAAGTGCCCAATCACCACAAGTCCCATCCATCAGACCGTCTAATCCTGAAACGATGAAAAACATTGCGAGTTCAGCTCGATGTCAACAACAACTACAACGATTGCAACTCTTGTCGTTCACTCAATCAAGTTTGCATCCTCAACTTCAATAGATAAGTTGCATACTTATATTTATGTACTCAGAGTGGAGTTTTTATTTCCTGGAGCTTTCAAAGAAAAAAGAAAGGAAATTAAATAAATTTCATAATAGGAATTCCAAGGCTCTGGTAAAAGTGTTCAAAGCTTTGGCGCCTTCCATTGGTTTAGAAATTTTTTTTCAATGCTTAAGCAAATTCATAAATCCAAAATCTTCAGGAAATCCATTGATTCAGATGTATGTACTCTTTTTGCCAATTCTTTCAATGCTTAAGCAAATTCATGAAATCAGAAGCTTTGGTAAAATCAAGGATCTAAGATCTGTTTCAAAGCCTTAGCAAACTGTTTCAAAGCTTTAGATAGATTCAGAAGCTTTCTTAAAATCACCGATCCAAAAAGTTTTGGCAAATCCATAAATTTCAGTTTTTCAATCTTGCAAATTGCCAAATTCAACAAAAACTTCTAGCGAACTGTTTCAAAGCTTTAGTAGAGAGGATCACGAGGGATAATAGCAGAACATAAAATCAAACCTTTATCCCCAGCACGGCAAGGCGTGCGCTCGTCCGATGAGGCTAGATTCCAGAAACAGTCGCCAGCCCGGGATGGGAAGACAACTATGCAGAAGGCCGCTTTTATTTATACCAATTGCCAACTACGGAGTAAAATTTTTCAAATACTCAATTTAATACTCCGTATAATACTCCGGATTTGAGAGTTCTACTCATCATAGCACAAACATAACTATGATGTGGTACTCATTCTAAAAAATGTAGTACTCATTCTAAAATAATGTAGTATTCATATTCACAAATTTATTCAATACAATTATAAAATTTATCTACAAAAAACCTATTGTACATTTTGAAATAAAATAGTACTCATTCTTAAAAAACTTAATTTTCATTCTTAAATAAATACGGAGTAAAATCCATACCATAAATATTTTTCTTTTCTCTCACCAGACCTGCAACCCCTTTCTTTTCTCTCACCAGATCGATCGATCGACTCCTCCAGGTTTAGGGTTTCTCCTCATATCCAGATCAGTCGTCTCCCATCTCTCCTCCAGCCTATTAACAGCTTCATCTATCGACCGTGCACATCTCCTTTCCATAGAATCGCTTTCTTCCTCCCGATTTGGCGCAGCTCTCCTTTGGCGCAGCTTCCTTCCTCCGACCCGACCCGACTACGAGCACCTCTTTTCTCCTCCGATCGACGTCTTTTCTTCTTTGATTTACCGGCTATACCCAATTTTGGGTACAGCCGGTTGTACGGTATAATTTGTCCAGATTTGATACTCATTTGTTAGAAATTCACCAAGTGTCAAAATTTAGGACAAATAAAGAATTCATTACTTTGTAACATCAGCTGAGTACTTATATTTTTTAATTTTAAAAAAAAATTCATTTATTTATTTGTTATGCTATGATAAAATTAATTATGTTATAGAATCAAACTTGTGAAAATAAATATAGCATTGTCCGGAATAAAATTATTAAAGGAAGACAATTATATAAAATATAATTATAAAATAAAACTTATTATGTTGTAGCAAAAAATTAGTAAAAAAATAAAATTGGTACTATCACTGACCATTTCTAGACCAGCGTTTTTTATGAATCAAAATTTTAACTAAGTGCATACACAAAAAAATAAAATTTTGATATTGATGTATTTTCGTTTAAAAGTATTCTTATTGGAAAAGATCAAATATGTTTATAATTGATCCTTTATTTATAAAATTAATATTTGAGTAAATTCCATACAAAATTTCCAGCTATAGGTTGTTTTACATATTTAATCCCTACATATCAAATATTATTAATTTAGTCCCCAATTATTATATTCATTTTCACGAATGTTCCTTTGTTAACATTTCCGTATAGAACGTGGATAAAATATATTCATACTTCTCACCGAAGCATCTCATCTCACCATAATGTGTCATCTCACTGGAGTCAATCATATATATATATATATATATATATATATATATATATATATATATATATATATATATATATATATATATATATATATAATTTAAATCAAATTTAAATTCATTTAGACTAGATCCTAATCAAATAAAATCAAATCAGGTCAAACTCAATCAGATCAAATCAAAACTTCAAAAATTTAAATCATATTCAATCAGATCAAGCGCACGAAACTGAGCCTTAGTCCTTGTCTAACGGCACTAAGACGGGAAAGTAGAGGAAAGACAGAACATGGAATGGTACTCAATTAATACGGACTATTAACATAATACGGAGTATTTGATAAGTATGAACTAAATATGAAAAAACCATTAGTTATAAAGAAATATTTAGATAATTTACCCAAAATAAAATTAAATTTTACAACAGACATGGGTTACAGGTACATATACAAGCTACAATTGTCTGAAGGAGGGGACTTTCATTTTTTTACCTGATTCATATTAGGATCATCAGGTAGCCAGAGAAGGCCCAAAATACATGCAGATGGGCGGGTTGATCTTGAAAATGGAGAGAACGGCAGACGGAATAGTCCAGATCCCATCACCACATATCAAACCTGAAGCAACAGCGGCAGCATAATCATCAGCATCCTTCCTGTTTATCCTCTCCCACACGAACAAGATCACAGTCCCAACGAACATGTCGATCCCAAAATAAGCTCCAACATAGAATGGGACTGCCATTGCCATTGGAATGGGAATGAAGTGTGAGACCTTCGGCGGGGCCAGATCCCTTGCTAGGTTTATGGCCACAGCTGCCACAAAGAATCCACAGCACATAGCCATACAATGTTTAGGGAGTTCAGAGAAGCCCTGAACCCCGAGAATGGCCATTTCTCTGAATATGATAGCATATGGGGCTTTGTACGGACTGCCTGGGGAGCCAATGTCGAACGCGTTCCAAAACATGAAGAATGTGAGTGGAGCAATGACACATCCCATTGCTGTGCCCACTACCTGACTGATGAACATTGATTTAGCTGATGAGAGGGTGAGGTAACCAGTCTTGAAATCTTGCATTAAATCAGCAGCTGTAGAGACTATGGACATCATCACCCCACAACCAGCTAGAGCGGCTATAACCCCACCCTCACTTCCAACCAATGAAGCGATTGTGAAAAGACCGATCTTTCCGTAAGTTGAGGCCAAACTCCAGTCTGTGAGTCCTGTACCATAGGAATTGCAGAAGGCGAGGGCAGGGGCAAATATATAGATTAAAAGGACAAGATACCACTTGAGTGGAGGGAAGATATTTGGCATTGTGGCTGTAGATATAGAAGCCAAAACTATATATCCAGAAGCTGCAATCCAGAATGGTATTCCATCTTTCAGAAATACATCTCTCTTCTTCTGCTCATGTTGTAGCTTGGAAGTATCACCATCTGCAGATGCATCCAATGGAATTGTCAAAGAATCACAGAAGCTTCAGAAGAAAATTTAACTGCAGTAATGGACATTCGGATACAGGCAGCTGGTAGCAAAACACAAAGGCCTTATGTATTGAGTACTTCAAATTGATTGGGCAGTTGCAGTTGCCTCAAGTCCTAAACCGAGAATTTCCCTCGGATTAGCCAAGGTCTTTGGTAACACTGTGGAGCAGAGTTGGGTGAAAGCAATTCAGAGCATCTGGGTTCATATTCAAATTTCAAAATAATGATGCAAGAAACCGTAATATAGGAGCAACAGCAGCAACGACTGGACGAGATAATTGGCAATGTAGGGATATAGCCTCCTCGAGAAGGTATTATAGGTCAATTTTCAGATGTGCTAAATAAAAATGTGACTTGTGTGCAAATTGTGCAATGAGCGGGATAATCTATAGATCTATCATTATTATCTAGAGCTATACTAAGACAATCCAAAGCAACTATTACAGGTAGCCAAGGAAAAGTTTCATCAACCTTCACCTGAGAGCTCCTTGATCATAGGAAGACTATACTGGTTGCGGCTATTTCTGCACATTTCTCTTGCAGTTATTACAATGATCTTAATCAGGTTATAAAGACCATCACCAAGAATAAGGGAAATGGCTATAAACACCTGCAAACAAATACACAAGTGGCAACATTATCATTTCTCTTACAGTTGCAGGAAATTAAGCGTATTCTGGCATCATGCTTCTCAGTTAAATCACTTTCTAAGGCAAAGATTAGGGTAAAAACGGTTCTGTTTGAGATGGTGCTACATGGAAACAGAAATTTCTTGCGAAAGAAATTGGGCCAGGAAACCGAACATTTACTCCAGGATCATGTCCAATCGAATTTACCTTATACCCATAGAGACCTTTAAAATCATTGCTCTCAAGATTTGATGGATACCAATCACCAGCATACTGAGAAATAAATGGCCAAAGGAAACCCCACGATATAATTGATCCAAGAAGAACTGAACAGTTGACTATGTGAGGGCAGATAAGACCACATCCAACATATGTAGGACTGAAGTCAAAATAAAACCTGCATCATATGGCACTATTTAACATATATAAGACCAAATAACAATACATGGGTGCACATGCAGACACACAAGCAAATACATGATCTTGAGATTTTGTGGCAGTATCACATACATGATGTTGAGCCAATTAGAGAATTTAATCACAGTATCACTCCCTACGCATCAACACTGTATTTCCTAGATTGGAGTATATTGATAAATATATTAAGAATACTAAGTCGTCTCCTTAAAGCAACACGCCAAATTAATTTCACTGTCAAATCAAATGAGCAACGCTATTAGGATATATGCATTGAAGGATTTAGAAGTCGAATCATTGTACTAGAGCATGCATGGTGTCTTAGAATGTGGGTTCCAAACTAAAAGGTTAGAAGTTGATGCAAGAGATGAAAAAGAAAGGTATTTATAGTTTGTGTCTTCATAGAATATTAGCACGCATGCACTCAAGCTTCCTTTGTATGAAAAAAGAGCATCTACTTTGCTTGGGCTTTGTTTCTTAAACCCAAAGTGAGATTTTGACACCAATGAATAAGGCAGACTTGTTATGCAACTTTTGGGTACTGATTACTACTGAATTAAGCTAGAGAGAGAGAGAGAGAGAGAGAGAGATGATGATGATGATGGCCGATAATAACGTATGACAGACATTTTAAGACGTGAATGACACATTGACACCAAAAGTAATTTCAAACAATCAAAGAGATGAAGGAAAGGCTGCAACTCACGTATTCTTAAACAATAGCAACCCAAGGGTTGGAAAATTGTCAAACCCACAGGAATCACCAATACCACTAAAAAACCATTTGAAGCAGCTCCAGCAGAAACTAATGCTCAGGTACTTTCCTAGACAGCTTACTTGTTTCCTGTAAAACAATGCTACAAATGTAACATAATGATAAAGTTAAACAAGTACATTCAAGCATTTCTTTTTCCATCTACATCACATATTTCATTCAATGCTTTGTAGAAGTTAAGAGATCTTGCCGTGCAAGTTCGGCTCCAGTACTTGTGTGGAAGCTATTTATTAGCATTGCTGTGGCAGTACCACTGGGGTAAATTAGTTTATTATCCAAAACCATGACCTGAAATTAAAGAGTGGTTGAAATAAAGGAATCTTAGAAATTTCATATAAACCCACAGAACATGTATTTGACTACAACTTCATTGCGAAAAGATGTCTTGAAACAATTAAAACAGAAACCATAATAAGCTAAGGATAGTGAATATTACTTTACCATATTAACCACGTGATATACTCTCACACTTAGTTCTCCAACGATGCATATCTCAGCAGATGATATAACGTAGAGAACTAAATATGATCAAGCGGATGAAAATAGTATTGGAGTAATTATTAATCACATATTACTAAGTGGTAAGCATTTTTAGAAAGTAGCACATAACAGCGTTGAATGTAAAGCTATAAAAGAATAGTGTATGGAGCACCTTGCGAAGTGGTACAACGCTGAAAAGGCCAAGAAAACTGACAACAAATATGAAACCCATCATCCACAACAGTCCTGGATTTTTTACATCCTCTGCCCTATTGCCAGGATAATCTTGTCCAATCAGCTTGTATGTTTTTTCATCCATGGAAAGTAAATATGATCCAAATCCACCTGAAAATTATAATGCAAGAATAAATCTGGTTTAAAAAAATCTAATAAAAGCATGCAATCAAGCAAATAAGACCATAAACTCCTCGGCTTTCTTTTGTGAAGTGGCAAACAGATAGATAAATTAACTTCATTAATTACCTGTGATGCAGTGCACTTATATGCTGTATATTGTATAATAAGTAAATAAATACGAGTATTATTCATTGATGACTGGGATGTTAAATTTAGCTTTATGGTGGTAGAGGTTGGCACGACACAAGCTATCCCAGTGAGGGTGCCGCAACAGGGATTGATGTGAATGTGGGTGTTGGGGATAGCTGTTAGTGTGGCCGGCACCTCAGCTCAACTAAGCTAGCCAAGCTCATAGCAACAACCAAACTGTACGAGCGCTATTCCAATTTCAAATGGATGTCTTCCTGTAGCCCGAATATGAAGGATATGACAGGTAGAAGCCATCCGTGTGTGCCAAGACCGTCTCAAAGCAACGGGTTAGACACACCTAGTCTCCATTTTCTATTCAGTTGCTGTTTATAAGGCTTTGGGTCAACTTGTTTCTCGTCCACCACTGTTTGGGCAGAGAGGGTGTGTTAAGTATCAACATTGATGGCTATGAGAGCAGTCTAGTTTATAAGGTCTGGCAAACATCCACCACTTGAGGTGAAGTTAGACCAAATTAACACAGTAAAATTTATTATGTGTAGATTCTCTTGGCCTCTTGGCCGTTGAATTTGTTTTAATGCCTTTTGGTCAGTCCAAAGCACATGTGACTTTCCAATCCGTGATGAATGATTCGTTTTTCCCTTATTTGATTTTGAGGCAATTTATCAGTCTTTTTTATGACATTTTGATATTTGGTAACAATGCTACTCAACACTATTGGCATTTGATATTGGTTTTCCAGGTCTTGAAGCCCCATTCTTTCTATGCAAGTCATAAGAGCTAAGAAGTGCTTCTCGGGCAGAAAAAGATTGATTACATGGGACATATTCTCTTAGGCAAGGGGTGGAGGTAATACATGAGCAGATCTCAACCATCTCTGAATGGTCAGCATCAGCTAATGTTAAACAATAGAAGGGATTCCTTGGGTAAAAATGAAGAAGTTGAGCAGAAGAGTTAATTCAATACTTCATAGACCAAATCTGATTTTGGCAAAATCCTATACCTTCGTTGCACTCTGATTTTGGGGGTAACAAAGAGAATACATTAAGAGTTAATTCAATACTTCCTGCATTAAGCTACCTCTTTAATTCTTTCACAAACAAATTAGAGGAATTAGAATGGAGATCTCACTTTGACCTCCCATGAAGACTAGGAGAAAGAGGAAGAAAAAGTTAAGTTAGAATCATATTCAGATATCCTTTATGCATACGAATCTAGGTCAACAATTCCCCAGTTCTAGATTCTCCCACAGTCCAAGGAAGTCACCTCAAAACAAAAACAAAAAAAAACAAAAACCCTCGAATTACCGCTAAAAGCGAGACCATAGCAAGCAACGACGCATGTCTGAATGACGGTATTCTCTTGCCTGGTGAAGGGCTGGACAGAGAAGTTGAATCTGGAGAGAAGACCAGTCCAAGTCTTGACGAAGAAGAAGCCGAGCAAGCCAGCGGCGACATTGAGGGAGGGGATGATCCCAACTGTGAGATTCAGCTTGTGCGTGATTACACAGAACAGGGTGCCGAGCGCGGCGCTCACCACCAAGCCCCTTATTGTAATCTGCTCCTTCCAATCTGGAATCTTCTCCTCCTCCTCCTCCTCTACCGCCGCCGCCGCCGGCTTGTTGTCATCTTCCAACAAGGGCTCTGATATCTCGACTCCGGTGGTTCCCATTATTGTGTTGGGTGATGGATGAGAGCTAGCAAGCAAGTGGTAAGGGGTAACCACTAACCACCACGGACTAGTATAATACGGCAGAAATTAGTAGAAGTAGTGTGTGCCATGTTTTTTTGGAGTAAAGTTTTACACCCCAAACTTATATTATAAATTGAGATTTACGAGCTAAAATCTCTCATTTTATAAAATTATTTTATTTATGAATTTGTATATTTATAAAAAATAAAAATTACATTTAAAAAATATATTAAAAATTTTAAAAAATAAGATATAACAAAAATATTTTATTTTACAAAATAATCAATGAAAACATATAAATAAACAAAAGTTATTAATAAAAAAGAAAAATTTATAATCAAATTAAGACGGGAAGAGTATTATTTTTAAAAAAACTCTATAGTCTGTAGGTTGACTAGAGTCACAAATATAATATTTTTAAAACCAGTAAATTTTCAATTTATGCGCCTTTAAAAAGATTTTAAATGATTATGGTATAAATATTTTTCTAAATCTCTAAAAATTGTCAACTCTCAGACGGCTTGACCCCTTTGGTCCAAAACTCCAAATCATTATGCCCATGTTCTCTGTGGCACAAAGGTTTCTTGTATTGTTCATTCTTTGTCAAGATTACATATTTACTCATTTACCTCCTCTAACAAATATGTTTTTTGTCTCATATGTAACGTATTATTCGAGTTCTCGTGAATTGAACCCAGATTTTTGAAGATTTCTGACATTGATTTGGAAATCTTAAAAATTATTATTCTGTCAAGGTAAGATATAAAAATTTTATGTACACCCTTTGGTTTTAAGTTTTGGTCACATATATGGAAGTTAAATGCCCCCAAAGTGGATGACTTTTCCTTAGAGGAGTGTTAGGAATAATGTAGTAAATGTACTACTACTACTTTATACCAAAGATTTGTCTTATTCGTTATTCTTTCTTTACATATTTTTATCAATAATTTTCAATATATAATTTCCACGTATTCCCTCTGTCTTAAAATGATCTATTTACGAGATTAGACTAAAATTATTTTCTATTCAATTTATTTAATTATAGGGTAAAATTAAAAAATAAAATTGTATATTTTAAAACTACATCAAAATTTTCACAAAATAAAGGGAGACGTAACTAATAAAAATAAGTAAAGAAAATAATTAAATTTTAACTATATAAATAGTGACTGGAAAAATCATTTTCAAGGGGAGTATACTTTTTCCAATATGTAAATGAAACTCTTTTTTAATTTTGAACAATTGTATAAATTTGAAGTAGGGAGGAATAACAAGAGTAAATTGGAGACACGATGCCTGCCTTTATGAGACTCTCTCTCTCTGAATATTGAATAGTATTGGTTCGAAATCCCTCTACTGAAGTCACAGGTAATTCTGGATTCTTCATTTCCCTATCCCTCGTTATCCCCTAATTTCCTTTTCTATTATTGCAGAAGTTATCGTGCTGGTGATATTATAATTCAATAAATTTTCCCCATGAAGTTTCTCAAAATTATTCTTCATTCCCCTAATCCCCCCATTTGAGTGGATTATTATTTTCCGATGTAATACTCATACTGTAGCGTTCCCAATTCCAGCACAGGAAGGAGCTTAAAATGAAACGGGGAGCTCAATAAGCTCCGTTCATCAATTCTACAAGTTCCATCATTATTCATTGTTGCATTTTCGGTGGGTTGAGTGAACCACAGTGTGGGGTGAGATTCGATCACTTTCCCACATACAGTCCAGATCCACTCTCTAACCGAAAGCTTAAACAATCCGGTAGTGCTTCACAATTTTTAATATGGTAGTACTATTTCCGTCTCAAAAAGATGTTCCTGTTTCATTTTTTGCGCATCCCATAAAACACTTCTATCCACTTCTATAATGTCTAAAATTCACCACATTTCTCCTTTATTGCAGGCAAAAGTTGTTTTAATGGTATTTCACACATTTCAGGTGGAGTAGAATTGTTTTGTAGATTACGCAAAAAATGAAACAAGAACATCTTTTGGGGACGAAAGGGGTATAATTTTGATTCTATATCTATTATCTGGGGTGGGAACATTTGCCCAACACACGGACTCCAACACCCCCTCAAGTTGTAACTAGGGTGGTCTAGTTACTACTTGGATGAATGAATGGGTCTAACATCTCAATCTCTTTATAGCTAGCCCGATGAATACCAGGATGAATCGAACCCGAACCGAACTTGGTTGCAATACCATGTTGAAAATCCAGTGGGCCGAATGAACTGAGCAGAGTGTCGGGTGAGATTCGACCACATTCTCGTATAAAGTCCGGATCCACTTTCTAACCAAAAGCTTAAGCTAATGGGTAGTGCTTCATCTTTCTTTATATTGTAGTATAATTTTGATTGATTATCTGGTCTGGGAACATTTGTCCAACACATAGATTCCAACATTTATGTCAGTTTGAAGCTCACAGTTTAAGGATGGTTGTATTAGGATCTATACTACTACTTATTGATGATTGATCAAGAATAAAACCTCGTTTCCCTTTTAATGCTGTTCAACCTGATCTAAAGTAAACATGGCTAAAAAGATGGCATAAAAAAGTACAAGGAAATGTATATGGAATTGTACTATTTCCTTTGAGATGATACATTCTCTACTGATTCTAGAACCAAAATTGGACCATATCTGAATCCAGTTTCGGTTCTACTAAGTTACCAAACCTTATATTACCGTGCCAAGTATAAATCCATCCATTGTCCACTCAGAGTTATTGAACTCACAATTGATTCTTTCGGCGCAAAAGTAGAAAGAAGACTTGCCAATAGTCTTGTCAAAGCCATTCACATATAAGCCTGTTGCATAGAATTTCTGCAAAGACTAAATTTTTCGTGCTATTTTTGAAGCAGCTGGGATGTGGGTATCTGCTGCTAGTCCTAGTTCATTGGGTCATCATCAGTTTCCCCACAGAATCTCTGAGCAATTTCACTCTTTCAAGTACCCACCAAGAAGAACGGTTTCCTGCAAGCTCGAATCAATGGGATTCGAAGAAAGAAATAGTCCCAATGAGGTGAAGAAAGAAATCAAGCAGTGTTATGAACTGATACATAAGCTCAGCAGGGGCGTTGTGTACTTGGGATCTTCAAGGCTTGGCCCAAACCATCCACACTACTCACAAGCATTCGAATTGGGAAGAGACATTGCCACACTTTTAGATTGCACGTCCTGGTCCGGGTTGGGACCGGGCCTCATGGACGCAGTCACACAAGGGGCCTTACAGGCTGGAAAAGCCGTGGGTGGATTCAAGATAGCTAAAGAAGGTGGGGAATGGACCTCAAAAATGTCTCACCCATACTTGCCATCCCAAACATACCTTACTTGCAGGTTTTTCTCTGCAAGGAAGCATGGTTTGGTGGACGCCGCTATGAGAAGTGGTTGCTTGGATAAGACAGCCGTGGTGGCACTACCTGGCGGCATTGGAACCCTGGATGAGGTTTTTGAGCTCATGGCATTGAGGCAACTTGACCGAGTCGGTTCGCTTCTCCCCTTTCCCTTCCTCCTCATGAACTACGATTCGTTTTATTCAAAGCTTCTCGAGTTCCTTCGTGACTGTGAGGATTTCGGCACGCTCTCGCCCGGCGAGGCTACATCATTGTTGAAAGTTTGTGACAGTAACACTGAAGCTTTGGCATATTTGTCTGAATTTTATCATATTACCCATTAGGGGTACTAAAGCACTTCATCTGCATTGTACTAATAAACATTTTTGTTTGGTGTTGTTGTTATTTGTAAGGATCATTTATTATATACCAACATAAATCTCCGAGATGGGCTACCAGTTCTGGATTTCTTTTTTCTTTTTATTAAGTTGAATTTTAAGTGCAAAAAAGATACTCGTATATGGTTAAAATACTTATTTAAATGTTTGTACTTGTAAAATTGTTCATCTAAATGTAGTAAATGTTTCTCAAAGTTGGGATAAGAAAAATTAAATCCCATTCCGGCACTTCAGATACCCCAAATTCGAAACTACTGCTAGTACCGCCCTAAAAGTTCTCGTACCGGTTCCCCTATACACCCCCACCGGTTCAAGTTCCAGAATCGTTGGTTTTGGTACCGGTTTAGAACCTGAACCATGTCTAGGTCTATATGCAAAATAGAATTTTAGAGTAACATTCCATAATCTTTCAAGTCTTTGTGTATTGATATGATTGATGTAGATGATTTTTATAACACTAATAACTCTATCGTAATTGTATTTATACATTTTTTTCTCAATTTATTGAGACACCGAGAGTAATCGCCTCTATTGGGAATTGAACCCTAACCATCCATTTGGAAGAATCATCTTGGTACTATTTGAAATCTTTAAACAAAGCATCATTTTCATATATATATATATATATATATATATATATATATATATATATATATATATATATATTATTCTTATTAACTTATACTCCCCTCTCCAATTTATTAATGTAAAAAATGTAAAATTAATTATGTTCATTTTTTTCAGATGACTTATAATAATAATAATAATAATAATAATAATAATGTTTAACTAAATTTAAACACTTTTAATGCAATTCACTTTATTAAAACTTTATAATGATAATAATATACTCCGTGTTTGTTATATAAAAATATACTCTCAATGGTTAATTTATTTCTCCTAATTCCCTTTCAACCAAACAAAGGAAATTAGCCCCCAAAAAACAAAAGAAATTAATTATCTCTCTCCTATTTCCTATTAACGACTACTTCAATACTTCGTGTAATTACACACCAGAAGATTTTAGTAATTATTTTCGGATGAGTCGTTCCTTGTATTTACGCATACATGCCAATATTGAGCGCGAGGTACCTTGGTTCACCCATCGCTTTGATGGGAGAGGTCGGCACGATTTTAACAGCGTCTAGAATTGCACTGCCGCGCTTCGTCAGATGGCGTACGGGACGGCTAGTGATATGTTCGACAAATACTTGAAGATGTTAGCTTGGAACATCAAGTTATGTGTTTATAAATTTTTATTCAACTTTATCGTCAAAGATATTTACGTAAGCTGACAGTGAGCGACATTGATCAGTTACTGGCGAGACATGCCACTAAACACGACTTTGGTAGCATGCTTGGGTTGCACGGATTGAGAATGGAAAAATTGTCTCACTGCATGGCATGGTGAGTTCTCTTTGGGTAATCGTCCCCAGCCTACTATTATGCTCGAAGTTGTGACCTTAAATGACTTTCTAGTTTTGGCATGTTTTTTTGGTGTTGCAGGCTCTAACAACGACATCAATGTTCTTAACCAATTCTCCGTTTTTGACGATTGGGTTAATGAGACTGCATGTGACTCATCTTTTGAGCTTGGAGGGACGCTTTACAAACATAGATATTATCTTGCTCATGGAAAATATCCATATTATTCCACAATTGTCAAGTCTGCCTCTGAACCAATGAGTCTTAAACGCCAGACCTTCAAAAAAGCTCATGAGGCAGCGAGAAAAGATATTGAACGAGCCTTCGGGGTATTGAAGTGACACATTTTAAATCGTTCGTCTAAGTGTTATTCGCAAACGAAAATGAAGAATATCATGTAGGCATGTATTATATATATTCTTCATAATATGATCATAGAGAACAATGAGTTTACAATTTGTCATTACAACCCGGACAAGGAGATGCCTACATACGAATAAATTGATGAAGAAAAAAACGAAGAAACCGCAAAAAATTTGAAGTAGAGAGATGAAAAAAGCACTAACGGAGGATTTGATTGGAGATATTTTTAGTCGCTCGAATAATCAATAATTTCTTTGTAATATAATGCAAAGAAATTATATTAGTCGTTTAAATTAGTGATTAATTGTTATTATTCAAATCTTATTTTATTAATATAATTTTTTTATTGAATGTAAATTTTTATTTAATAAACTGTTGTCGTTTTAAATTCAATTAATTAATGAAATATTGTTAATTTAATTTTAGAAGATATCTATTCAAAATATAAAAAATAAAGGTTTGAAGTCTTCTAGATCCATTTCCAGTAAATCTGTTATGTAAGTTAAAGTTGAAATGACATAAAGTGAAATTTTGAAATTCCAGTTAAAGCTCCGGGATTTGAAGAATATTTTTAGTGTTCTAAAATATACCCAAAAGTTTATATTTATATTTTGTATCAATATAAAATTACGGTAAGTCTAAAATGACACCAGTGCTACTGGTGTCATTTTCTTACACCGGTTCGTTTGGGGTATCTATGGTGCTCCGTTTGTAAAAACGACGGTTCCTACCCCCCCTAACCCTCCCCCTAAACCCCCACCCCAGCCCCACCCTTACCCCCCCCCCCCCACCCCAGTCCCCCCTCCTCCCCCCCTCCCTACCCCTGGAACTGCCAGGGTAGGGAGGGGGCGGGAGGAGGGCTGGGGTGGGGGGGGGAAAGGGTGGGGCTAGGCTGGGGGGTTTAGGGGGAGGGTTAGGGGGGGTAGGATCTGTCGTTTTTACAAATGGAGCACCATAAGTACCCCAAACGAACTGATG